GGTGAGCATCATAGAATGCCAGGTTATTAGAACAAAGTGTTCTTGCATTGAGGGAGTACTTGAGTAGAGACCCAATGTCCATCTGCTACCTTAATATTTAACATATAAATATATATGTACATAGGCCTATATCCCTATCGCTATATATTAATATATTTACATATGCACATGCATATATTTATAACTATAAATGTGTTGCATCCTAGTTATTTCTTCTATTTCCTTTTACTTTCCTCCTGTCTCACTATCATGTTCAACCTTCATTCAACTTTCAGTAATTTCTCTTGGTCCCATTGCCTTTGATCGAACCCCACCTGGCATTCTACACTCTCCTCGCCATCGATTTTAGATCTTTTGTTGTTCCCTTGTCCCTGGGCTTGTTGGCTCCACCCTCCCTTTCCCCCACCTCCTCCTCTTCCTTGTCCCTCCAGAACTGTCTGTCCTGTTTTCTCCTCAGGATTGTTTATTTGCCTATCTTATATAGATAGACATGAAAAAGAAGAAAGAGAATAAGAAAAGGGCCTATAAATAGTTCCAGGTCTGTCTGAGGACCCTCATGTTACGTTTTCTGATCGAGTCTGCTGAGTCTGATTAAGTCTATTTTTGGGATTCCTTGGGGATTTCCTTGCTTTGCTTGCTTTGCTGCTCTGTTGCACTCCCTTTGTGTTTTGCCCTGGGGGTGGTGGGGTGGTGGGGAGGGGGTGGGGTGACACGATGGAATGGCTCGATGTGGGGGGCAGTGACTGAGTGGAAGAGGGAAGTAGTGACTCCCACTTACTGGTGGCAATAGAGTCACAAAACAAGCCAACCTCAACGGCCAGCAGGTTACCCAGTACCTTGGCTCCCACCAGCGTTGTAACCTTCCCCACCCAGTTCTGTGGGCCAAATGTGGGTATCTCAGGAACGCCCCTCAGTAAACTGTACTGAGAATTAAGTCAGCCATAGAACACCATTAGCTGGGTTTTCTTGGGAGGAGCTCTCTTTTTTCTGCCCCGCCCACTAGAATAGACGCAGGCCTGGGTTGCTCCTTCACTCTCTCATATCGCATCCCCTCCTGCACCCCCTCCATCTCACCTTGAATGCCCGTCATGCATCTGCATGGCAGGAACACGGGGGCTTCCTGGGGTCCTATGGTAGAGAAAGGTTTCAGCATCAGGGACTGGGCGGTGGATGAAAACAGAAGCTAGGGGAGAGGAAGCTGGGAGAGGGGCTTGCGAGTGTGGGATCAATTTCTTGCCTTTCCCTTTTCAGGAAGAAAGCACCATTGGTACCTATGCAGCAAAGCCCGAGGTAAACCAGCTCTTTTTCCACATGCCAGCCATGAGTCTCGTCTCTCTCTCTGTTCTTTATCAACTCTCTTATTGCTCTTGCTTCTGTGCCTAGGTCTTTAATCCTCAGTTCCTGCACCTGGAAAAGTTGAAATCTGTAAGTATAATTCTCTAGAGCTGCCTCCTATGATAGAACACAGAAGACCCTAGGAGAGAGCTTGCAAAGCGCCTCGCTCCCTTCACCTTTTCCAAAGAGTTAGGGTGGGAGATCCATCCTCCCCTGGAACTGACCCTCCTCTGGTCCCTCTCTTCTCCCTCTCTCTCCCCACAGGCTCTTAATCCCGATGAATTCCTGGACTGGCACGCCCTCTTCGAGGTAAAGTGCTTGGGAGTCCCTCATCCTGCCTGATGGTTTTCAACACATTGCTGAGTATATTGGCATCCCATTTGTAGCCTAGTCCTTTGGGTCTCTCCTGAAATGTAGGAGGCAGCTGGACTCCCTGAATGGGGTCATTGGTTAACCACTGGACAGTTAGCCAAAAGGCTGATGGTTTGAACCCATCTAGATTCAGAAGGGTGGCCGAGTGGGTTATGAGTGTGGTTATGAATAGCGACATGGTCAACTGTTCAAAACCACCAGCCACTTTGAAGGAGAAAGATGAGGCTTTCTACTCCCATAAAAATGTACAGTCTTGGAAACCCACCGGGGGCAGTTCTAACCTGTCCCAACTCATAAACTCACTGTGAGTTGGAATTAACTCAATGGCAGTGTGTGTGTGTGTGTGTGTGTGTGTGTGTGTGTTTGTGTTTCAGAAGGCAAGCAATCTTTGGGAAGGAAAACCCTATGAAGCAATACTACTTTGCATGCGTGGGGTCGCCATGAGTTAGAATAGACTCACCAGCAACCGGAGCGAGTACCTGTCCTGCCTGGCTCCTGCCTGATATGTTGTTGACAGCAATGATGGTCCAGGAGGCTGTCACAGCTCCATCCCTGTTTCTAAGCATGGCATTGAGGGAGCAGGGACACACACACACACATACACAGACATTCCAGCAGGGGAAGAATTTAATTAAAAATAATTTATTTGTAATGCCCTCATTCTCCATGAAGAAACCAGGTCTCAGGCTAGGCTGCCCACCTAACCTCAGACGGCAAGTTCAATGACAGAGCTGGAACTTGAGCTTGTATCTCAGGCTGGCACTTCCTAGCTGCGCGACCTCATGGAATTGGCTTCAGATCTCTGAGCCTCAGTTTCCTCATCTGTGATGTGGGATGGCCACCAAACATCCACATGGAAAGGTTGCTGTGAAACCATGTCTGCAGAGCAAGTACAGAGCAAGCGCAGACTATGGCCTCAGATGCTATGTCTGAACGCTCACTGCAGCCACAAGGAGCCCTGGAGGCTCTGCTAACCAAAAAAGGCCACCAGAGACCCCCACGGGCCACTCTGTGAGAGAAAGATGTGGAAGTCTGCTTGCACAAAGACTACAACCTTGGAAACCCTAAAGGGCAGTTCGACTCTGTCCTAGGGGGTTGCTATGGGTCATAATGAACTTGATGGCAACGGGCACCCTGTACCGTAATCATCAAAAAAGAACACCGTCACCATTCGAGGGAATTCTTTCAGCGAGTGTCCACTGACCCACGCTCCCCTGACCTGCCTCACATCACTCATCTTCTCCCTCTGTTTCAGTCGATCAAAAAGAAACTTCCATTTCTCAACTGGGAAGCCCTTCCTAAGGTAAGTGGTGTGACCACGAGGAGGGCCCAAAGATGAGGATAAGAGAAAAGCAGAGGGCGTGGGGGGTGGGGGTGGGGGTGGGGTGGCAGGGGAGTGTTGAAAGGGGAATGTGATTTCTTGTCACCAAAGGTAAGGCAAAATCTCCCCGACTATGGTCTGAGGAGGACGGGAACGGGGACATTCCTTATCGCCACCGTCCCCCGGGCTTGTTTTTGGAGGACCACAGCGGCTGCAGGCAGGGACCCCCAGTCTGACCATCATCTCTCTCCTTCCAGTTGAAGGGGATGAGGAGCGCAACCCCTGATGTTAAGTGACTATTACCGTCTGACCCCCGAAGGAAGAGGGCTCTCACATGAGCTCTGATCAGCACCGTAGTCTCCTGCTTCCCCAGCTGGTTCTGTAAATCCAATAAAGAGTTTTCCATACAAACAGCTCCCCTCTCCGGGGCTCTGTCTCTCTATTACTGAGCAATACCAAGGGATCCAGAGGGAGTGTGTATTAGTCTAGGTACTTTGGAGAAACAAATCCACAGCGACTCATGGATAAGAGAGAGTTTTATGTAAAGAAAAGGTGCATCACGAAAACATCCCAACCCAATGCCGCCCAAGCCCACAAGTCCAACATTAACCCATTAACCCAACACCAGTCCACAAAGTCCTCCACCTCACAAAACAGAGGCAATGATGCCGACTGCAGGAGGAAAGCTGAGTCAGTGAACGAACAAGCATCTCAGCACTAGCAGGGGTCTCCACACGGCTGCTCCAGCACCCAGGGCTGCATCGGGGTAGGTCCATGTAGCTTCTCCTTGGGGATGTCTTGTAGGAAGTCAATCTTGCAAGCTGAAGCAGGGAACTGCTAAGGCAGCTGCACCCGGTGCAACCATCACAAAACAAGAGACCCGAGAACTAGAAAGGTGAGGCTTCACCACCCATTTATCCCTCCACCTTTCAACCAGCCCCACATGTGATTATCGGCCAGGCTGGCACAATTAACTAACTCAGAGTGGAAGCCAAAGAAGGACCAAAGGGTGAGAGTCAGAAATCTTGGATTCTGAAAGGGGACTATGGAGGGAAATGGGGAGAACATACCAGAGGGCAAGAGGCCCCTTCTGCATTAGCTCCTTACTACTGGCCTCTTTGAGGGATATCAAGTGGCAAGTTGCTTGGTAAAATGCTCAAGAATTCAAGCTTGCTCCCTGACCTAATGACACCTGCCTTCCACCTGCCCTGGGAAACCTCACAGCATTTGTGGTGGCAATTTGGTACAACTGAACTAAGTGTAATCCAAAGTTTAGGGACCCTTTCAATCATGCGAGTCTCTCTGATGTGTGCGCGTGTGCGTGTTTGTGTGTGTATTTGGGGATATTAAAACCAGAAACCAATCAAACTCACTGACATCGAGTCGATGCCGAATCTAGGACAGAGTAGAACTGCCCTGCGAGTTTCTGCGGCCAGAACTCTTGATGGTAGTAGACAGCCTGGTCTTTCTCCCTTAGAGCGACTGGTAGTTTTGAGACGCTGACCTTTGGTATCACAGTCCAAGACGTAACCACAACACCACCAGGGCTCCTTTGGGGGGAGATTAGGAAGGTTAAAAATAAAAAGTGATAGGGCACTGAGCTGAAATGAGAACGGAAATAAAAGAGAATGTGGTGGTATTACCAAGGTCAAATGTAAGGGAAGTAGAGCCCTTTGCTGGGGGCTGGACACATAACTGGCACTCAGTCATTGTTTGTGCCCAACACGCTTCCTCAGCTGTCACTGGGGATTCACTGCGCTGGCTCAGCTTCATTACGAACTCACCCATCCATTTACCGCAAAGCTCTTGAAGCATGGACCAGGCTCAGTTCTCACAGTCTGTTCCATACAAGCTGCACAGTGTCCTTACAATATTAAATTAGTTGGTATCACTTCTGGTTTCTCTTGAAAGAATAGATGTGTGGTGGACGGAAAGCCAACTAGCAGCTGTTCGACACAGGATATGTGTACTTGTCACCCTTGCTGCCTTGACCTCTTTATGTTGTCTTGTAAACCTGCATGTACAATTGGAGATCCTAATGTTGCAAACAGTTAATGAGCTCAAAAGGCTGAAGGTTCAGGTCCACAGAGAAGCACGTTGGAAGATCTATGTCCCCAAATAGCAGTGAGTGAAAACCCTGAAGAGGTATGTATGGATTGTGATAAGAGCAGTAAGAGCCCCCAATAAAATGTTTTTTTTGTTTTGTTTTTCTTTTTTCTTTAATCATTTTATTAGGGGCTCATCCAACTCTTATCACAATCCATACAAACATCAATTGTGTCAAGCGCATTTGTACTTTCATTGCCCTCATCACTCTCAAAACATTTCCTCTCCACTTAAGCCCCTGGCATTAGGTCCTCATTTCCC